TGGTGCCGGAGGAGTTTCGCGTGGGCACCTGAGAGCCTATCCACTCTCAGGGGACCAAGTCTCGCCGGTTGATTGCTGCCTTGAGAAGGCATCACCCCCATGGTCTTCCCAGTCTCCTGCAACTATCACCCTCAGTCCCCGCTGCTGAGACTATGGCATCAAAAGGTGATGCTGCAGAGACTATGGCATCAGAAGGTGATGTTCAGCAGGCTGGGAGACCTGAGGGTGACGTTCTAAAGACTGACACTCCAGAGTGTGAAATTCTGGAGACTGGGAGTCCTACCCCTTTGACATGTCAGTCGTCTGGAAGTGGAATGTCTAACGCCACCGCCATACCAACTGTATGTGAAGGTGACTCAGCACCAGTACAGAGTGCGTCAGTACCAGATGTGTTACCAGATGCTGAAAATTACATAGCAGAGGCTGAGGTAGCTGGTGCTCAGTCTGAGGTTGATCAGCACAGTCGACAAACAGAAAGTGCAGGTAATGCAGATGGTCCACCAGTTTATAAGGCTACTGAACAAGTGATACATAAACTATTTCATCTGCCACCCCTTGTTAAAATTAAGGATATAGTGTCCAGTACTTTGAAAATGGCCACACCAGTTGCAGCAAGTAGGGCATCATGTGTACACAGCAGCTCCCCTCAGTCTGCAGTAACCAGCTATTCTACTGATGCTGATAATTCTCATTCAAATTCACAAATGCCTATTAAAATAAATGACATAAATAGCTTGAGTGTGTCATTCACAAATTTTAAATAAGTAATGCCACTCCTGTCATTCTAACAGTTTGCAATTACATTTGATTTTATAGTGACTTAGTAAAGTAAAGCAGAGATGCTACATTTCCGGATTTTACCAGAAATCTGGATTTTTTTTTAATGTAAAAAGTTCCGGAAAAAAATCAGAAATAAAATCCGGAAAATCAGACCCAAAATAACATTTAGATGGGACTTTCTTCAATGCGAATTAGCGCATTAAATTTAGCATTAGGGAGCGTTCGATTTGCACGAAAAACACTAAAACCCATGAACTTAGTTCCCTAGGGCGGGCCACTGGACCCCCGGCCATGACACGCTCCGCTCGCTAGGTTTTAATTGGTCACTACTTAATAGTTCAGGATTTTTTGGAACAGCGCTGTAGCATATCTGGTAAAGTAGTAAGCTCATGCTGGTCCAACGTTGTCACCACTCTTGCCTTGTGTGCCGAGTTATCTGCGCCACGTGTCAAAAATATGACATGACTAAAGTGCAGACCAACTCCAGAACACTATATAGCAGTAATGTTGATAGTGTTATTAAAAAGAGGCACTCGCGTAAGTAAAGTAGCAGAAACGCCCTCAGATAATTGTGTCTGATGTCCCATCCTTTTGTAATGTACACTTGTTTTTGTTTTGTCTGTCTTTGAACAGAAGCTTAGCAGTGGACGTGTGGAGCATGTACATCTGTCTGCACAAACTTGGGTGTGATGGAACCTGCACACAGTAGCACGCATGCAAAGCCAACAGCTCCTACCATCTGTTGCTTGAAGCTATATTGGTATTTCGTTTATTTCTGCACCACGTGACATTTTGGGTAGCTTTAACTATAATTGCATCATTTTAAGATCTGTGTCTGTATCTGTGAACTATCCATCAAACTAGGGACCCTGAAACACTGAATCACATAGTTCCCTATCAGAACAATATTTGTTTGCAAGGAGAATCGTCGAAGAGAAATGTGCGTTTTGAACCACAGTGTTCGTATTCAGTTCATCACCCCACAGACTATAAAGTCTACTAAAATACTTAAAAAGTTCTGTCTGTCGCCTACAGTTCTTTGTGCAAACAAAATTCCGTGCAGTGTAACTCGCCAGTTTGTGGCCAGGTCAGATGACCGGAAATGACTAGTCCTGCAGACAGATACAATACCTTATGGTATATCTTTCTCTTCGTTTCTGGTGGTTGGTGGCTGCTGCATTACTATAGTTCTCACTTGGTAATTGATATTCAAAAAACCAACGATATTATACATGTGTACCATATGCCTCGATAATGTGTTGCTTGTGAATTATTGAATTGTATTTATTCAATCAATTTACAAGTTGTTTCATAAAACTAACTAGCTGAACAAACTTGTGTTGTTTATCTAAATTAGTAGACAATTTATTATTTATGAATTAGGGAAAAACATTTGAAGCAATGTTGTTATAATAGAATTATATAATGTTATATGTCTTGGCTACAGCATGGTTACATTTGCAGATCTAGGATTTTAGTAAAGGTAGGTTTCCTGATGTCACCTTTTCATCTGCAAGGTGAAGAACTATTAACAGGGATAGAAGCTATCTGCCACTATTGTTTACAAGTGTTGTTTTTTTAATCTTTATAGTGTACATAGTGTATGTTAGCATCAGTTGTTTTACTATTTGGCCTATTATATTAATACTAATTATTCTAACCGATTACTGTTCTATAGTCCATGTCGTTGGTCCTACGCATACGTCTTGGTAATGCGAACAGTAAATAAACGTTGGTTTTCAACGTTTTTATGGAACCATTTCACAACCTTATTTTAAATGTTAAGTCAGGCCTCGACGCTTATTTTGATCTGGTTGTCTTGCGGGCAACAAGAGAAGCAATTTTTTACTCTGTCGAAATTTTGATTTTCTTAATCGCCAAATTTACTTGTGCAATCTATTAGCCGTTAAGTCCTCTGTTTGGTTCAGTTGCATACATATTATGAGAAGGTGCTTAATATAGAGATTAGTGTTATATTAAAAGATATATATATAGATCAAGAGCCTTAATAATACATTGTTAATTATTAGCGTCTTGAAGTATAATATACATATATAAAATATATAGATAGAATGTGGAGTACGTATAATATTATACATCTGATACTTTTTTGCAGATTCCTGGTTTGCAATATAGGTCATCGCACTACCTGGCGAATGCTGTCTGGGGCGCGATTTGCATGTGTGAGTGTGATACTTACACTTACATTATATACCGTATTAACTTGCGTATAACGGTTAAACGGCACTGTTTGTACACAACTTTAAATAAAAAAAATTCAGGGCGGTGCGACGTTACTTATGAGCGAGGTCAAGAAATCTGCTAATGTTACCAATGTTTGTACGAAACTTTTCAATGCAAATATGGGGGTGCAATTATAATATACATGGAACATTATCTTATACACGAGTAAATACAGTAAATCGTATGTAATTAACGTTTATTGTTTGGCAGTGCTGGCACGCTCAATTGCTGTGTCATTAGCGATTGCCGCTTTTTTCGCTCATCAATATCAAGGAAAGATTTTGCGTTCGCGCTCCTCATCATCCCCAGCCGATGCACCCCCTACTATTACGAGTAGATTGAATTGCCCAACCGACTTATAACAATCGTTACCACCACCCCAGTACATAAGATCAATGCTCACTATGGCCCCGCCGGCCAGGGAGTACGGAATTGCGCTACTGAAGAAAATCTGTGAATGGTAAACAGGTGAGGACTTGTGCGGGCTGCTTTCTTGCAGGGACCTTTAAAAACGGATTTGAGTGAGGTAATGTGGTGCGATAGCGTCCCTGTGCTCAGGAGATGTTAGGAAATAGTAAACAACTAGAACTTTTCAGTGTGCACGAAGTTCGGGCAACTATGCAAGGAGATAAATTGTCCGACGAATTAGACTTTCACTTGTCCCGGGCAATCGGCACAAACCGGTTAGCTGTCGAGGGCTGTTACGTATAGTGGTTTATAAAAATTTTGCCAGTTTGTTAAAGAATAATAGGTCCAATGATTATCGCATGTTGACGCAATGCTAGAGTAAATGGCCAATTGTGGTAGGTTAATAGTACTTACATTATAGCCAAACGCGTATTAAGTGTGTTCCAATATCACTGGCGGCGTCCTGATTTACTCAAGAAAATTGTCTAATTGAAATCCGCAGTTCCAAAAATCAGTATGATTAGTAGTTTCAACGCTGCCACGAACGTGGGGACGAGGTGATAGCAGAAATGATAGGACTGCCACCGGAATGTTTCGCGACGCCTGCTCGGCCTAGACGCCAATAGCTATCATCAGTGATTTCGTAAACATGGACGCTCGTGATAAGGAACTTTTTGTCAGGGCTGTCCACGTGCGTCCGTGATTAGTACGTGTTTTCCTCTATTTCCATGTTTAGTCCGTGGCCGTGGTTACACCGCTGACACCTCCGTTTCATCTGGCGTCCAAAATATACGGGCCACACAAATGTTTACGTCATCGCTTTACTCCTGGATGACATTTACGGCACGTAAATGATACGTTGATACATATCAACAACCGATTTCAAGTCTTGTTTGTAATGTAACCAGCAGTGATATTGGACAAACTGATACGCGTTTGGCTATAAGGTAATGTACTTATTAACTACACAAGGTGCCAGTTACTCTAGCATTTGTCAACATTGCATAATCAATGGACCTATTATTCCTTTACGAACCGACATGTAAAGGCTAACTCCTTGAATCCTTGAACTGAGCTCCGCAGAGCTGTAGTGTTCTCCCGGTATCATCATACGGTATGGTAGTCACTTAGTACATTAATGTCACACTATGTAAGTGTCTCACGGTATTACGGATATTACTGGGTAATAGGTGGCACTGATGTCAGTAGAGGCGACACGTCTGGGCTATGTAATCACCCAGGAGCTCACATATTTTGACACGTATGTCTTTGTATTGATCGTCTTCTAACACACTTAATAACATGGCTATTGAGATGGACCATTCTCCGCACAGGTTGAAGATTTTGTAGCACAGTCGTTCTCTCTGTTCTGTAAAACCGTTCTTAGTTGGGCTATTTTGGAGTAGAGGCGATGGTTCGGTACGTCGATCAGCGCATGCGTGCTGACCGAAGGTTTCAAGCTGTGAAGGCATCTGCCTGTCTCCGATACATCCCACTGTCTCTGCCGCTTGGCCTTGACAGAGACCCTGACGGCCCCTCTAACGTCCCCTTGAGAGGTCGGTCCCTCACTCTCTATGCTAGCAGCTGTTTGACTAGCTTGTTTGGCCAACTTATCAGCAATCTCAGCGTGTCCAGGAGTCCAGGATATGCTAAGGCCAAAACAAAATATAGGTGTGGTTACCGTTTCATGCCGGAAAAAAATAGGATAGGTAGGTAGGGAAAACATTTTATTTTATTGAAACATTTTATTTACGAACCATGTCCGAAGGATGTGCGTTGTGCCTTTTGAAGCAGGAACTGTCCAATTCATTTTTTTTTTTTTACTTAAAGAAAATTGACAATAAAATGTTTAGGGTCGCTGGGAATAAATAGGGTCGGTCGGGTAACGGTAACCACACCTATATTTTGTTTTGGCCTAACCGGAATGCCTAGTGCTTCCAGATAACATTCGACTTTTACATCTGGAGATAGTGTCCAAGAACTGCTTGGCTTTCCATCCTAAGGTGAGTAGACCTATGGACGATTGGCTGTCAGAGAAGATTTGGACCATCGCCGTGGCATCCAGGTTGGTTTCCATGCAGATATAGTCCAGGGTCAATAAGATGGCTACTAGCTCTCCAAGCAGTATGGTACTGTGCTGTGATACTGGTTTGCTGATCTCGATGGGCGTGTCCTCACCAGGTAGGAGTATACACGAGCCTGCGCCACAAGGTCCCGGGTTGGGTTGGCAGCTGCCATCTGTAAAGGCTATCACTGCACCTATAGGGCAACTGCTCATGATGCCGCTAATGATGTCTTTGGCAGCATCCTCCTGCTATCTTGTTCTGGCTTTTGACGACCCTAGAGTTGACCAGTAGTCTGGAGACGTGCGTATTGGCTGCAGGGAGCAGGGAAATGACGTACGAGAAGCAGGGCTCCATGACCGACACTGTGATGTTGGTCTCGTAGGTCATGTCTGCCAGTTGGATTTGGCATAACCCAAATGGTGACAGGTGTCTCTCTCCTTTGTCCCTATCCTGCAAATGTTCCCAAAGTTGGATCAGTGGTTCAGCTTTTTCCAAGGCCAGTACCTTTCCAATTTCTCTGACCATAGGGCCAGACCTTTTCTTTGGATACTCTCCTGTTTGTGGCAATGGCTGGAATTTTGCCATACGGCCACAGTATATTGCAGGTGGGGTAGCACAAGCGCTTTGTACAGTTGAAGCATTTTCTTGGTGGTAATATGCTCTGTGCTCTTAACCATTCTGAGGGATGCGAGAGCCTTGTTGATAGGCTGATAGGTAGATATGATGAAGGATTATGATACGACTTCTTACCGGCTTTCTTTGTGAATTTCACCTCCGCTGTCTTCCAGTCTCTAGGGATTTTGCCTTTTTCAAAGCCAAGGGCAAATAATCTATGGCTGGCCATCACTAGCTGCTCACTAGCATTAATCAATAACTCACAGAACACTTTATCAGGGCCTGCTGCCTTGCCTTTAACAAGGTGCATCAAGGCTGCTATAGTCTCGTCAATTGTGATAGGGTGTTCCAAGTGTTCTATGTCGAATTTGACACTGATTCCTGTTGCAGGTTCCGCAATTATGTGGGCTAATTCCTCTTCCACAACCTTCTTAAACTCGGTGTTAAAGTCTCCTTCTTGAAGATGACTACCACTGAAGAATGTTGAAGGATCCTGCTTTTCTCTGCTTTGTCAAACACTGGCTCGTTTTGGTAGTTGAACAATGGCAGAACATCGCAGCCATCTCTCTCTTGGTAGGAAGTTAATAGTAGTTAGTATCCCAGATTTCTCTTGGGTCCTTGGTGGAATTCAGTCTATTGCACACATCATCTACCCACTCTTCCTTGGCTTCCTCTTCTGCCGTCTCACATTCCGCCTTTGCCTCAACGAAACTGTTGAAGTTTTGGTCGGTAGACCTTCTCTTGTACCCTCTTTTCGCAAGGTTTAGGCGATGTCTTGCCTTCTTCACCCTGTTAGTGATCCAGGGCGGCTTAGTTCTATGGCAGCCTGCCTTGACTTTTTTCTTTGGTACACTCTGATCCTTACATTTATTGAACACTTCCATAATTGTACAGCTCCTCGATCGAGGCTTCACCGATATCCTCAGTGTTCCGTAACCACTGTTCAAAAAGTTTGTCGGCGATTCTTTTCCATTCATCCCAGTCTGTTTTACTGGCAATGTATTTCTCCACCGTTTCCACGGCTGTTGGGTTACTCTTGTCTAGCTCTAGCTCCACCCCTATGTGGTTAG